CCCCAGGCGCACTGGTCTGTTGTAGGCCAATTAACTTGGCAACGATCTGATCAACCAAGGACTCTTGGTTCTTTGTGATTGTTTCTAGAGTATTTCGACTGTTCTGGTTTATCTTGTCTTCTAGCTCTTTTTGTAGTTTTAACATTGTAGACACTAATTTTCGTCCATATTTTTTATTATTATTTTATACATATATACCTATATATATTATATGGTTTGCAAATGGTTTTTGAAAATATATATATCATATAGTTTTAAAATCATTTTAAAAACTTATATAATATATAGTTTTAAAAACATTTTTGAATAAATTATATAATATATAGTTTTAAAAACATTTTTGAATAAATTATATAATATATAGTTTTAAAAAACGTTTTTTAAAACTTATATAATATTTTTAAAACATTTTGAAAACTATATAATATAGTTTTGAAAACTTTTTTAAATATAATATATAGTTTAAAAAATATTTTTGAAATATATGTATTATATAATTTATATTATATCAGTATTATTATTATTTATTTTCTTTTTATGTTTTTTTCAGGGTCCAAACAGTCCAATAAGTCTCGAGGGCCTGATCCAGCCCAGAGCTCAGATTAGGGTTCCAACGTATGTTCAAACAGGCGCAGCGTAAGCCAAGGAGGTCAAGGGTCAGTCACACCGGCCACCGAGATTTCCGGCCGAGGAGATCGGGACTGACCCATCCCGAAATCCCCGGCCAACTAACCACGAGCACGTTACCGTTATCATCGGAGCAGACCCCCGGTGGGGTGGGTATAAATATCCCACCACGGCCATCAGGGAGGGGGGGACAGCCACGCAAATCTCAGAAGCATAAACACAGTAAACCAAATAACCAAAACAAGATCAAGGAGAACCCACAACGGATCAACAGTAAACCAAGAGTTCAAACCAACAACAAGTAAAAACAGAACCAACCACAAACCCATCGACCAACACAAACAGAAACCACATCAACAACCAAGGAACAACAACAAAACCAACAAGCAAAAGCCAAAAACAAAACGCCGGGAAGACGAGCGGTTTTTAGTGAAAGGTAAAAATCGAAGGTTTAAAGCCTAGATCTACGCCATTTGGAGGTTTGTTTTTGCGTGATCGGTGCTCGGGGTTAGGTTGACGGGCTTGAGAGAAGCATTTTGGTGGGATTGGGTTTTTTTCGACCGCCGGTGGCGACGGCCGAAACGGCGGTGGTGCGTCTGAGTGGGCCACCAGACGGTGGCCGGATATCGCCCGGTGAAGGGCATCGAGAGAGCTTTCTCTCGTTTAAAAGAGGAGAGCTTGAGTGAATGGTGAGAATGAAGGAGAATAAGGGATTTTTAGGTATTTATATACCAAGGACCATAGTGCAATTACAGTATTGTTAAACTCTCTCCGCCGTCCCTAAGAGCTTAAATCGCTTTACAATCTGGTCACTACATGCAATTTGGCCTTTGAACTTTCGAGTTATTCAATTTGGTCACCGTTTATGCTTTTTGCATTTCGCAAATTAACCCTCTGATTTCTGGTTATTTCAATTCGGTCCTTTTTTATATTTTTTATTTTATTTTTGTTTATTTTATCATTCTATTTATTTTGTTCCCTTCTATTTGACTTTATCATTTTTTTATGTTGTTTATTTATTTCGTATTTATGCATTTTTTATCTTAAGTTGGTTTTTCACTTCTTTACAAATCTAACACTTTCATTTTTTTAAGGGTCTTTTTCAACTGATCAAAGGTAAGTAATCTGAATCGGTTTTTAAATTTTAATTTAAGTTTCTAATTTCTCGCAATTAAAGACAACCGATAAATTAATTGGTACCGAAAGGGCGGTTCAAGGGTGCTAATCCTTCCTTGACCGTAACCGACTCCCGAGCCCGACACGTTTCTGGTAAAACGCAAATCAGGTAAGATGGTGCCCGGCCCGCCTAAATTCGTTTTAAAATGGTCGGTGGCGACTCCAATTCATTTAACCCAAGTCAAAGCCCAATTCTGGGCCCAATCGAAAGACGGTTACGACAATAAGAATAATAGGAGTTTGAATATATTAAATAGGAATATTATTATCTAAATATAAAATAATTAAATTATCTATTAAATATTAAAAACTATTAAACATCTTTACTTTTTCTTATAAAAATATTTTTATTTTTTTACTAAACATAGCTTGGAAAGATATTTTTCATTGCATAAATTTTTAAACACATCAAATCTTTTATGTATGGAAAAATCTCTAAACCTAAAATATGATATTAATGAGATAATATAGTGACTCGTTAAATAGGCCGTTTGCTACAGTAATCATTGGAAAGCGTCTGAATCACTTGGTGTCTTCTGAAAGTCATTTAGACTATTCACCGACTTCAAGACAATATAATTCTCGATTCTCAAAATCTCTTCTATCAAACTAAATATAGCATGAAAAAAAGTTGTATTTTTCGTGTGTCTTTTTAAAGATGTTAAGTGATCCGGACGACTTCCCATTTTCATTTTAGCATTCACACTGTCTCAACAATTAATTTCTTCAATACCCCACATAAGCAGAGGTTGAACTTCCTTAGGACTAGTGGTGGCCATGTCCCCTAAAATATTAAAAAAGTAATATTTATAACTACTAAATTTAATTTTATAATATATATAATAAATTATTAAATTTGGTTGTTCCAAAAAATATGTAAATTATTTTTAAGTGTTTTAGTGAGAATTTGGTATGTTTAAGAGTAGTAATTGATGACAAGTTGATTTGAACGAAAGAAGTTTAGTTTAAATGCTTAAGAAAGGATGTTATAATAGATTTGAGAGGATTTTTGGGTGATTTTCTAAGTAAAAATGGTAATTATGGGCTTCGAGTATCGGTACCGTTAGAACAGTACAGACACTTAAAGGGAAAAATATGTGAAATTATTAAGGGTAGTATCAATACCGGTTGAAGGGGTATCGATACTGTAAGGGTAGTATCGATACCAGAATGATGGTATCGATGCCATTTTTAAGATGCAATTACAGAATGTCATATCGGTATCGGTACCATGAAGAGGTATCAATACCCCTTCATGGTAGTTGCACTATTGGAGAAGCACTATCAACAAATGAAGAGATATCGGTACCATTTTAAGCTTGTCGGCTATTCCATTTAGAATTTGCGAAGCACAAATCCTCCATAACACATTGGTAAGTTGCACTATCAACCTCTTGTTCAAATGCCACATGGTAGTCCTCAACATCCTTCAAATGAAAGTAGCGATTAATCGCAGAAGGTATGAAGTGAATAGAGATACCTCGAACAAAAACTGTATGTTGATTCGGTATAAGCTGAAATTATATTTGAATATATGAAATTTTTAAAAATTGAATCTTAATATTCTTCTGTCATTAGAATTTATGAAGGCTTAGAACTAGGGTAGCGGAGTAGTGTTGCCTTAGTTTAGGTTTTAACCCATTTGACTTTATTCATTCTCGTAGCTTGCTATCGTTGATTATTGTGTATCCTTATCTTCATGTTTCATCTTTTTAAATTTAGTCGGGTCTTACGTTTTCTGTCTATATGCAGAGATTTTCACGCAGAGATTTATTTACAGGGATTACTCCCCATTACAGACGCGCATATGTAGACTGCATATGAAGACTGTTCAGCTATGTATTTATTTATTTATTTATACATGCATTGCATTTTATCTTTCTTTTTAATTTTCTGATTGCCGGAGGTCTTCCACGGAAGCTGCTCTCAATCGTGACGTTGGGGGCAACCTACTACCCTACCTCCCCTTTACCCATTTCATATGTGAATAGAGTATTGTTGTTGTTGTAATATAATCTCGAGATAAGCTTAGATTTGTATCTTAAATTGATCTTTTTAATTGTATTAAAAAGTGAAATGACTTTTTTGTTTGAATTATAAATCAAATGAGTCTTTATATGAAAATTATAATAAAACTATTATTTTAAAAAATGATAAATAATTATAACCACTTAACTATTTAAGTGTTACAATCAATATTCAACGACGGAACTGACGTGACTGTTAAAATAATGTAATTATATATTTAATCATTAATATTTACATAATTTATCAATTTAATTATATTTTTAATTTAATTTAATAAATTCAATCTCCTATTAAATGATGACATGTGTCATCACCTAATTAGAAAACATTTTCTTAATTTTAATTAATTGTTTTTATTTAATTAACTGATAAAACAAGTGTTAACATCTAATTAGATAATGATATATGTCACCATCAATATTATTACAATTAAATCAGTAAATTACGAATAAATAAGAAGAATCGTGTTATTACATTGCAGCAATGGGGGACCATGTCCCATGACAAAAAGAACATGGCGCAAAAGACAAGACTGCACCAGCTTTGATTATCTATAAGCATGTGCTCATCAGTCCCTACAAAACAATCCCGAGATAAGAGTGGATCCAAATTATCTCGAATATCAGAGAAGAACGTATGATTTTATGTTAAAAGATATTAAATTTGTTTGTGTTGTTTTCCTCGTGTTTGTGACAAACAATTAGTTATTGCTTATTGCAATCAGGGTCGTGGCTAACCCGACGCAAGGTGCGTGACCGCGCAGGCCCCCCAAAAATGGGGGCCCAAAAAAATATATCTATAGTGGCTTTTTTCCAATAAACGCCACTATAGATGGACCTATTACGGTGTTTTCCAAAAAACGCCACTATTGTTGCGGCTTTATTGAAAGAACATCACTATAGATGGACCTATTGCGGCGTTTGTCAAAAAAACGCTACTATTGTTGCTCCGAAATCGAATATATCTAGAAAATAGGATCACTTTATAAGAATTTATACAGGACCCCGAAAACCTAGCCACGACCCTGATTGCAACGACAATAAATAAGGGGAGATGAAGACGTTTAAAGGGGAATCCGATCCTTTTCACAAGGCAGCTTCCTCTTGCCTTCTTTTTAGCTAAGATCTATATGATGTTTCTCATGATGTTTTATCTGTGTTCATCAATGGCGGACTAGAAAAAGAAAGGGGATTTGCAGTGATGGGAAAGGCTGGGAAATGGCTGAGAAGCCTGTTGACTGGCAAGAAAGTTAAGGAGAAAGTGAAAGGTAAATGCACGAATGATCAGAATTGTTCGGTTGTTCCCGAGAATCCGAGTACTACTCCCGTGTTGATTCAGCCGCCGTTGCCGCCTAAAGAGAAACATAGATGGAGTTTCCGGCGATCTTCGGGTTCTATAGAACAAGTTGCCACCACCCCGCCACCTACAGCGGAGGTTGTGATCCGATTAACGGATGACACCAATGAGAAAGCAGCCGCGGTTGAAGACGCGGCTGCGAAGATCATTCAATCCGTGTTTCGATCCTATTTGGTATGTTAACTTCTTTAGTGACTATTTTGTGCACGGATTTAGTACATTTTGATGAGATCTGAACTCGATTTAAATCCTCTTTATAATTTTTATTAATGATTTAATTCGCGACATAAAATTTTAAATTCGTCATTGAAATTTCCATGCTCTTTGATTACAGGCGAGGAAGGCTTTGAGAGCATTAAAAGGACTGGTGAAGTTGCAGGCACTGGTGAGGGGTCACTTGGTGAGAAGACAAGCCAGTGTTACGCTGAAATGCATGCAGGCTCTGATCACCGCACAGGCCAGAGCTCGAGATCAGAGGATGCGAATGGTTGAGGATTCCAGGCCTGCTGGCCAAAGGCAATCGCCCCACCGCAGGTCAACACCGGATCATCGGATAAGGCATACTTATCATGTAAGTTTCACTTCCTTCACCCAATTATGATTTTTTTTATAACTATCGGTACTTGATATATTGATGGATTAATTCATATCATATATTATAAAGTCTTATTATAGAGATTACTTAAGAAATTTAATATCTCTTCCCACTAGATCAATTAGTTGTCGAATATGATTTCTTTATATATATATATATATAGTAAAATTGCCCAGATAATATGATGAAAAAAATTATTGACTGATGTGGGAAGTTCTACCGTGCGTTATTATTTCTGCATAAAACATTACCTAAAATTTTCTTTATATATATATTATTTCTTAATATTCAGCTAAAGAAAGACATTACCGGTTTTGTTATTATTTTTTTAATAAAATCGATAAAAAATTTATCTAAAACATTATTATTTCTACCTAAAACAATAATGTTTTTTAACATTTCCGGTAAAGTGTCAAATAATAACAAAACCGGTAGAAAAAAAATAATGTTTTAGGTATCGCTTTACCGGATATGTTAAAGCGCCCAATAATAACAAAACCGGTAGAAATAATAATGTTTCTGGTAATTTTTTACCGGTTTTGTTAAAAAAAATAATAACAAAACCGATAGCGTCTTTCCTTAGCTGTATATTAAAATTGCCGCACGTGATACTTTCTCGACTGATGTGGGGTGCATGAGAAATTATTTTCTCAAGTGGGATGAAATGAACATTGTCATATAAAAAACGCCAAAAATACAGTGCGTCTTTTGAAAGACACGTTGATCATTATGTATCTTCTGTATGAACTTGTTGATGTAGCTGGGGAAGATGAAGAAGGCAAGACTCCTAATACCGAAAACGCGTTGCTATCCATGCGTCTTTCACGGCCGAGTTAAAGACACGTAGTATTCTATACGTCTTTTTCATTGCACCGTAACAATTGTTAAAGTCCGAAAAATAATTCTCGAGTGGATTATTTTGGGATTTTTCCCAGCACATTATCTTAACCATTTTTCCATTATATATATATATATATATATATGATTTGTAAAACTGATTTGCAATGTGGGCTTGTGAGCACGTAGGAGATTGATGTTGGAATGGAAGAAAACATTAAGATAGTAGAAATGGATAGCTATTCACACCATTGTTCCTCAAATCAACCATACTCCAAGCAAGACAATCATCAGCTATCTCCGGCAACATCAACTTTGACCGATATAAGCCCCGGAGTTTTCAGTGGTCACTTCGATGATTGTTTCGTCATGGCACATGGCAGTCCACGATACGTGGAATCCGAATCGTACGAGTACCCTTTGTGCCCCAATTACATGGCCAACACTGAATCTTCAAGAGCCAAAGTGAGGACACAAAGTGCACGCAAGTCGAGGCCGGATTCGATCGAGAGGCAACCGAGCGGCAGGCGAAGGGCATCGGTGGAAGGCCGCAATCATGTCCCAAAGGCGATGAGGATGAAGCGATCATCGTCACATGCCGGTGCTGCAGCGGATAACTACAAGTACCCGTGGTCGATCAAACTCGATAGATCATCGATTTCGCTTAAAGAGAGTGAGTGTGGTTCCAACAGTACAGTTCTCACAAGCACCACCAACGACTGCAGATCCCATTTTGGATATGATGTAAGTGTGAAATAACACCAAATGGAACCACCAAAATCTCAAGGGTAGAGATGTTTTACTATATGATAAAGCAACATTTAACCCCTGAACTTAGTAAGTTTTCTAAATTGGTCCTTGAATCTTTTGGTTCATATTAGAACTTGTATGTGTGACATGATATCAGAGTACCAATTCAAGAAAAGGTCCAAAAATATTTAGGGACTAAGTTGGAAACAGTTACCAAGTTCAGGGGTTAAATATTACTTTATCCATTTTACTTTTCTTTTGAATGTTTAAATCATACGAGGATATCGACTTGAGTCTTTATATATGTAAAAAAAATCTATTGGGAAATTCACTCAATAAAATCAGGTGTGTGACACGAATTGATCTAAATTCAAAGATTTGGAATTAATATATTTTAATTATGTCCCACTCAAATTTGAAATTGATACTAAGGACCCGAAAAGGTTTAATCAGTATAATATTAATATTTCAAGTGTCTAAATTCAAAGATTTTGAATTAATAAGTAGGGTATATTATGCGTTTAATATCTAAATTTTTATTTTTTTTCAAAATCATACCTATCGTTTAGTTTTTATTTCATTTTAGTACCAGCCATTAGAAACTTAACGGATGAACTCGTATCCCGCCGCGTCTACAGTCGTTGACCTTCACATCTGTCGGCCGATGAATCTCAAACTTTTCAGCTCATACCTTTTCAATCTCCTGAATGTGATTTCGACCTTCATTTCATCGAGAAATGCCTCAATCTCCCTAAATTAACGATGGATTATTTGACTTCTTCGTCCTCCAATCTTTGTTGTCATCCGTTCGATGGGCCTGAAACTGGACTTGTTGGTTGACTTGTCCTTCTCTTGTGGTCCACCTTTCGGATTGGTCTTCCGTCCACCTAAGCTATGCCTCGTTAGTTCGTCCGTTAAGTTTTTAATGGCGGGATACTAAAATAAAACAAAAACTAAACGTTATGTATAATCTTGATTTTTTTTAAAGTTTAGGTACTAAAATAAATAAAAATTAAGAATTTAGGTACTAAATGTGTAGCTTATCTTAATAAGTATCGAGTTTAGTTAAAAACATATTACATTCTTAAAAGGATAGCTTGTATTTGAATCTTAGGGCGTGTTTGGTTTGGGGAATGTGAGATTCCCATGGGAATGGAATCCATATTCCCCGTTTGGTTGGCCGGGAATGTCATTCCCGGTAATCTTACATTACCAATACTGGATTTTTGGGGTATATTACCGGGAATGTCATTACCTCCATTTCCTTAGGTATTGTTGGATTACCAGCGTTTTGGACTAAAATGCCCTTAAAAAATTTTCTTTCAAAAATATTCTTATTCTAGCATTGAATAATAAAAATTCTACGAATGCCAAATTATAAATCTTTAAACTATTTTTAGATTTAAAAAAAAGTCTATAATTAAAATTTTATATGAAGTTCAGGTGTTAAAATAAAAATTTACCATTTCATTAAACCTTTTTATATTTTCAATTTTGTAAAAAAAAATTATATAAATTTTATGAATTTAATTTTTTTAAAGAAATATATAAATATTTTCCAACTTGTTAAAAAATATATAATAAGGACAATTTGATAAAATATACATTCCAATAATATTTTATTTTTTTAACCAAACACTGTAATCTTACATTCCTGCTAAACCAACCAAACACAAAATACAACATTCCCAATAATTCTATTCCCTGATAATCTTTTATTCTCACTGGTAATCTTACATTCTGTGAACCAAACGCACCCTTAGAGATGATCACATCGAGTGAGATGAGAAAAATAGTGCATGATTTTATATTTAGGGTAAACTTGTAAAATTTTAGGATGATAATTATAAAATTTTAGAAGGATCAAAATAAATTATTAATAGAAAATAATTAAATCATATAAAAATTTAAAATTTTAAAGAAAATAACCATCCCTGTCAACCCTAATGGTAAAATGGACACGAAAAAGATAACCAAAATTTTTTATTTTTTAAAATTTAGGACCAAATTGAAATGCCATGCTATAGTTTGGGGGCGACTGGTGGAATTAACCCTAGAAAGATCAGCACAGTCTGAGAGAGTCTCCATATATAAACAGCTAAAATTAGGGTTTTTGAGTCTCTCTCAAATCCTACCCTTTAAACGAACTAATAAGTTGCCGACTGCTCTGCCCTTCTAAGTTAACAAGCAGAGTTTGAAGCATGGCTGTCGGGTACTCCTTTCTTCTCTTTTATACCACTCATTTTTAAATGAATTTCCATTATTTTCTTAAATCGGATCTGTTTTCTGGGTTATCTCTTTGTTTTGTAATGCAGGAAGAACAAGAGGATTTCCAAGGGAAAGAAGGGAGGAAAGAAGAAGGCGTGAGTAGTTGTTTTTTTAATTGAGTTTAGCTTAAATCAGTTCCTGTGTACTTTAGCAACAGATCTGTTAGTTAAATGTTGATTTACTTTTTGTTTGGTTTTCTTTTAGATCGGATCCCTTTGCTAAGAAGGATTGGTACGATATAAAGGCTCCATCAGTTTTCACTACCAGAAATGTGGGAAAAACTCTCGTCACCCGTACTCAGGGTACCAAGGTTGTTTTCTTTCTCTTCTTCTTTTAATTTATGTTTTGTATTTCTTTATATGCTAAAAATGCTTGCTTTTCATTCTATGTTAGATTTTTGGATGTTTTGAACCTGATAGGATATTGGGTATCTTTCAGATTATTCTTTGTTATTTCTTTACCTAGCTTAAGCTTAGGCCTTTAGCTTTTACTGGGATATTAACGAGAATTTAATGATAGATATATATATGCGTGTGCTTTCTTGTTTTGTTTGTATTGAATGGTAATTGCAGTTGTAGCTCAGCCATGCTTATATTGCAGGTTGTTTTGTATGGCCATGATGTTATTTTTGTGTGTTGAAGTGCTGTATTATCATTTTCTTTTTTGTGTAGAATTTCTGGGCATCTTTCAGATTATTCTTTGTAGTTTCTTTACCTAACTTAAGCTTGGACCCTCTTTAACTTTTACTAGAATATAAACGAGAGTTTAATGTTATATATATATATATATATTTGTGTTATTTTTTGTTTTATTTGTTTAAATGGTATTGCAAGTTTTAGCTGAGCCATGCTGATATTGCAGTCTATTTTGCATGGCCCTAATGTTATTTGTGTGTTGAAAGTGCTGAATTATCATTTCCTTTTAAAATTTTAATTGTCTTATGTCTAGAATATTGGTTGCTGAACACATAAAGTTCTTCATTTACCAAGGAAATCTTGTATCTGGTGTCATTTTTAAATTCATGTTGACCCTTTTTTTCATCGTGAGGAGGATGCAACGATTGATCCTGCTAGGAATTCTTGAAATAGCCCGAATGCAATAATAAGATCATTTTCCTTCAATTATAATTCAATGGTCTTATTTGTTGCGAAACTTGAAAACTTGTTAACTTGTTTAATTTTGCATGTAGGTATGGTACGATGAACTTTGATCTGCTTGATACATTTATTCAATGTATAAATAGTTTGAATTTTGAACTTGGCTATTTTCTTGACAGATTGCTTCAGAAGGTCTCAAACACCGTGTGTTCGAGGTCTCACTGGCCGATCTTCAAGGTGGTGATGAGGATCATGCCTACAGAAAGATCCGTTTGAGAGCTGAAGATGTTCAAGGAAAAAATGTTTTGACCAACTTTTGGGTATGTAAATATAAATACCCTTGTTCACTACATTATGCCAGCTGTTTTAGTGATAGAAATTAAAAGATTTGGTTTGGTTTCCTTTTCAAATTTTCAGGGAATGAACTTTACCACCGACAAATTGAGGTCTTTGGTACGTAAATGGCAAACCCTGATTGAAGCTCATGTGGATGTGAAGACAACCGACAACTACACTCTGAGAATGTTCTGCATTGGATTCACTAAGAGACGCCCAAACCAGGTTAAGAGGACTTGTTACGCACAATCCAGCCAGATTAGACAGGTAATCTACGTCAATTTACTGCCAAGCATCTAGACTTGTTACTTAATTCTCTCAACTTGCTTTCCAAAATGTCAAAGATCCTTAATGTGAATTCGTCAATACAATGATGACCGAATGAAGTTACTTTGTTTTGCAGATTCGCCGAAAGATGAGGGAGATCATGACTGCCCAGGCAACATCTTGTGATCTGAAGGGATTGGTTCAGAAATTCATTCCCGAGATGATAGGAAAAGAAATTGAGAAGGCAACATCTAGCATCTATCCTTTGCAGAATGTGTTCATTCGTAAAGTCAAAATTTTGAAAGCTCCCAAGTTCGATCTCGGAAAGTTGATGGAGGCATGTTCCTGAACACCCATTCTTTTCGATAAAAATATCATACGGACTCCATCTTAGGCGATTTACTGAATAAGATATCAATTATACTCCATGTTGTGCCATGGTAATTTATTTATTTTTGTTGTTTTTTCGCCATTTAGGTTCACGGTGACTACTCGGAAGACATCGGTGTGAAATTAGAGAGGCCTGCTGATGAGACAATGGCCGAGGCTCCTGCAGAGCCTGTTGGAGCTTGAACTAAGAGGAGTCCTTGAATTCGTCTTGTGTGTTTTTTTAGGCGTCAAAGAGATTTGTTGATCATTTTGCTTTTTGTTAAATAACCTGCAGAGTAGAGAATTTATCCATGGTTTTGGTGTCAAGGATGTGATTTTGCTACTTGATTTTGAGTAGACAATATTTTACTCTTTGGTAGACTTGTATAAGCGTGATATGAATCTACGGTCAATATTAAAGGCTCCTTTCGATCGACTGAAATTGATTTTTTAGAATATAATTCACTTAAAATGAATTAGCTGAAAATTATAAAATATTAATCTAAAACTTGTTTAAGCATTTATTTTTATATTAAGCCTATTTTAATTATAAAACTTCACATAACGATTATTGTAGAAAAATTATAAAAATATTAATCTAAGTTTGACATAAGAATACCATGTTCTAAAAGCTTATTAAATGAGAGGCCTAATTCTTACAATGTTCTAAAAGCT